AGGAAGCTTTGAGAGAGAACATTCAATATATTACATTTATTAAATTCAATATACACACACACATGGGCCCTAAGCTAATGTAATGTACAATTACAATAAAGAACAAATAACTGAGCACTGTAACTAAGGTATTTACAGTTATAGGCGATAATATACATGCTGGAACATGGGCCAACCCTTACAAATGGGTGAGAAACACTCTAAGAGGTTTACATTCAAGCGAAGCCTTGGATCAGAGTGAATAAGACATGCTCATTTGCATTTTAGTTGTCTTTTTATCATCTTTTATTTTTGGCTGCTCATGGAAATTCTATAGTTGTGATGTTTCCCTAAAAAGCTAATATTGAAAATATTATTCAATTGTTTGAAAATGCAGTAGCACAATTTATTTAATAATATATCTCTCAAATTCTTGATATATTTCTCCCTATATTATCGTACAAGTTACTATTATTGTTATTATTTTTTCAGGCAGCACATGTAGCACACTCCCTTTTCTGTATGTGTTACAAATATAATCTACAGGTCCAGAATGCTTCTGTTCTTCTTTTGCTGGCTGAAATACACAAGGTAAACTTGAAGATGTAATGTAGGGAAGGGGAACCAACGCATATGTTGGTTAATGCTTATGTGTTTTTTAGATGAGCCACTCTTCCCTCTGCGCTTCTGGGCTGTATTCCCCAAGTTTTTGATTTGTTTGTCTCCTATCATAAAAAAGGAAAAGGAGTGAAGGAAAAAAAGAAAAAAAAAGGAAAAAAGATAGGAAAGGATCCTTGGTAGTTCGCTAAGTTCATTGATAAAAAGATATATTATTTCTAATACATCTTCAAATTTGCTGGTTAATTACTTTTTTTGGCTAAGAAAATATATTATGCTATTTTATGTTTGATGTGCATCTATTTTCTTTCCATAAGCCTCGAGGTACTAAAGTCCTTATTGCTTCCCCTCCCCCCAGAAATCAGGCAATGCTGTTTTAGGTCTTCCTTATGCTTTGGCAAGCCTTTCCTTTTGCCAATCATTTAACCTTGATCTTCTAAAAGCATCAGCCACTCTGACAATTGCTGAGTTATGGCTCTCACTTGGACCTAGCCATTCAAAAAGGGCTTTGAATCTTTTACATGGAGCATTTCCAATGATTCTTGGTCATGGAGGTTTGGAGCTCCGAGCTCGTGCCTTTATAGCAGAAGCTAAATGCTACCTCTGTAGTCCAAGATTTTCAGGTATTACAAACATGGGTGTAATCATTCTTATGAAGTTCTTACCTGCAATATCTATTTTCTGCTTATAAAACCAGTCTGTTTCTAAATTGAAGGAAATATAATTTTTATGAAAGTAGTGCTACAAAGGAGAATAGTAGTTCGGTATGGATCACTTAAAGACAGTGGGACGGAATATATTTCAAATATCCATTTTTATTAATCATAACGACGATATTTTATTGGTAAATCTCTTACTGGATAATGCTCAATAGAGGGTAAAAGTAGGTAGCCTTCTTCTATTAGATTTTTAGGTTAACTGTATAGGTTAGTTTCTTAGATAAGTTTGTTAGGACTTAGGAGTGAGTTGGAATGTCAAATATAGAGAGTTGGGAGATTTTGGAGGTAGGGAGATTTCGGTATTAGATTGCAGGCAAGAGATAATAGCTTCCTTTCTAGGCTATGAACCTTTATTTTTCCATTCTCTATAGTAATAGGCAACGATTCCCATCAATTCCTATAACTTTCGTAGAAGTCCCTTGTCTAATATGGAAACTCTCAAGATGTCCTCTTTGCACAAGGTACAAGGATTGTTTGGATTCTCACGTATCGGGAGTGTTCCCTTGTAGTTTTATTCCCTCTCGTTTGACCGTCCCTTTCTTCTTGTTCCACACTTTGGAAAAGATCAAACTTTTTGCATGGTTGGTTGCTTATGGGAGGATTAACACCTAAGAAGCACGGACACGGACACGGACACGACAGGACACGGCGATACGTCAATTTCTAAAAAACTAGGACACGGACACGCTGGGGATACGTTATTTATTTATTATTTTTTTTAGGATATAGGTAAATTTAACATAAAAATGCTAAATATACTTCGCTAAAAAACATAAATGTCAAGTAAATTTATTGGGTTGAAGATGTACCCACTAAAAAGCATAAAAATAGTGAATGTAATCCACTAAAAAAATCCTAGAGAAGGATTTGAATTTGATTATTGGGTCGAAGTTGTCATCCTAATTTTGTAAAACATATTCTACTCTAGTTTAATTCATATGAAATTAGGGAAAAAAGGAAGTAAGAATAGAGCTTATTTAATTTAACTCACACAAACAGAAGGGTGGGTCACTAGGTAGCGTTTTAGGGTTTTTTTTTGTAGTTTAAGTTTTTGAGATTTCAGCCAAACTTCTTGGACTTCCAAAATTGGGCTAAGGAAACAATATTTTTTTATCTGGCGTGTCCCCACGTGTCTGAAATTAAAATAAAAAATTCAATATTCGAACACTTTAAATTGCGTGTCGGACACGTGTCCGGAGCGTGTCCGGACGTATCCGTGTCCGACACGTGTCCGACACAGACACTCCTTTTTTGCCGTGTTCGTGTTTTATAGATTAACACCGATGGTGTACTTTTCTGTAGACATACATATGAGGTCTACAATAATTGTGTTAGTTTACTATGATTATTTGGATCGGATTCTTAGACACTTTTGGTGTGAGGTTGGCCCGGAGTAGGAACTAACACTCTGGCGATGGAAGAGGTGCTCTTTCCCTCCTTTTTGGGACAAAGGAAGGCTTTTTGTCAAGTGTTTTTTATTTTTGCTAATTTTTGGAACGTTTGGCCCAGCAAATGTAAATGAGTCCTGGTAGAACATGTGGTAGTTGACTCATTTCAATGTGTCCCTTGGGGTCTCCACGTCCAAGCTCTTTTGCGATTATCCTTTATTTTTTCTTCTCGTAACTCTTGTTTCGTTGTTATGGGCTCCCTTTTTATCTGGGGCTTTTGTTTTTTGTTTAGTCTGTAAGCGGTACTAGTGTACTTCCATTCTTCATTGGAAAAGTTTGGTTTCTTTAAAAAGAATTTTCATATTGATTAAATATTCAAGATTTTTAATCTGTGGACGTTAGATCTTTTAAACATTTAGGAAACTTGAAATTGGAAGTATGGTAAATGTTGAATATTAGAAAAGATGAACTTTTTGTTGAATTTCCATCTTTACCAGTTTCTGAAGATCCGGAGGTTGTGTTGGATCCTCTCAAGCAAGCTTCTGAAGAGCTTCAACTGTTGGAGGTATGTTACTAGATACAACTAATGCTCTTGAATTTCAATTAGGAAGATGAAAGAACAGCTTGACCTTTTGCAAATTTCTTGATCGAATTTGTCATTTGTTGCCCGCCGTGCAAAAATAAATCCTTTTGTCATGTCATGTGTGAAAATACTAATATTTTGACCAAGTAACCTGGTGATGTATCGGTAATCGGTATCATGGATTCATTGTAACTGGGACCGAGGGCAAACAATTATTTCATTAGTAAACACGACGGAATATTTGGGTTTGATTTTCACATTTCTCATCAGAAAACATCCATATGCTTCTGTTTTGCATTTATTTTACATCATTGTTATTGATCAGTGATTCTCTCTCTCTCATTCTATGTCCTCAGTATTATGATTTAGTAGCTGAGATGCTTCTGTTTTGCATCTTTTTTGACAAAATAATTGTGTTATTGACCAGATGACTCTCTTTTAATATAGTGAATGGAATCTGAGATACTTCTGTTTTGCATATTTTTTTAATATCTGTTATTGATCACATGATTCTCTCCCTCTCAGTATCATGAAATGGCAGCTGAAGCTTTCTATTTAATGGCAATGGTATTTGACAAATTGGGAAGGCTTGAGGAAAGGGAAGAAGCTGCAGCTTCTTTCAAGAAACATATTATGGCTCTGGAGAATCCTGAGGAAGGACAAAGTTCTCTGCCTAATATATTATGACAACAAATACCATGCCTTAATGCCTTAATTACTGAGATGTAATTTCCAAAATGCCAAGAAAAATGAACCACTTTGATGAAACTACTGCTCCTTTATCTAATCTTGTAGCATCATATTTGATTCTAAGATTCGTATTTATGTGTTCATTATTATAGATAAAGCAGGTCGAGGCTGTGTGCGCGAGGTCGGGAGTGGTTGTGGAGGTGGCTGGCAAAGGAAGCAGCCGAGGCGGTAAAAATAATTGGAAATAGAAAATGAGAAACGAGAAACAAAATACAGAAATGCAATCAAATTGACCTACTTTCAGTTTTAGAATTATTTTGATCATAGAGACGATCAGATGTAATTGTTAATCAACAAACTTAATTTTTGAAATAGAAATATGTAATGGTATACACGACCAATGCTTTTTATAAATTGCAATATTTTTAGTAGGCTTCAAAATTAATTTTATTTGGGTCATTTTGGTCTTTTCAATTGAAGATTGATTTTAAAATAATGTTTTGACTGTTTAGGTAAGTGAGAATCAATGGAGGAGAATTAAGATTTTCACTCTTCCTAAAATAGTAAAATTTTATTATCTATCCACACTTTTTAATAATTACCTTACAAAACTTACCTTTTTTTTCTCTCATCTATAATGAGACCATAACATTTTAATTAATTGTTTTATATTATTATTTTTTTTTATCTATTTATATTACCAATATTTTTTTCTAATAGGAAATTATACAATTTTTACTACTGGATGTGATTTTATTATAAAATATCATAAATTTATTTTTAATTATTTTAATTTTACTTTGTTATTATTAGTTAATATCAATAAATTTTTAAAAATAAAATTTACTATTATTAAATAAATAATATATATATATATTATTTATTTAATAATAGTAAATTTTATTTTTAAAAATTTATTGATACCTGCTTTGCTTGCGTTCATCACCGGCGCTTGCCGGGATGTATCACTTATCCCGCTCCTAAGGTAAGGAGTCTCCTCTGTGTGTTAGAATCTTTACGGGAATGAATCGCATATGTTGGTTAAGAATTGCTCGGGAATTCATTGATAGTRACTTTGCCAGGTTCTAGGGGTTCCCCTCTTCTTTTTTGTCGATCGAGCCGCTTTCCCTCGTTCCACTCGTCCAGCCCTCCTCACGAACTTGTACAATCGACACAACAAACACAAGTGAGATGTATCTACCAATGTGATCCATATTATTGATGGACAAATTTGTATGGAAAGAGAGTCTTTTTATTGTGGAATTAGACCTATTATTGATATCGGCTTATCTGTCAGTCGCGTCGGATTTGACGCTCAATTGAAAGCTACAAAACAAGTTTGCAATAGTTCTGACCTTGATGTGTGACTCAACGTAAGTGAAAGTTATGAAACAAGTTTGCCATAGTTCAGATCTTGATGCTGTCACTCAACGTAAGAAGGGGTAGGGAGATTCAAACTCACGATCTAAGAAAGATGTGTCAATTATCATTAAGCTATTAGAACGATAAAATTTAATAATATTTTACATTAAATGATTGTTGCTTAAAAATTAGTTTGACATAGTATTTAATTCATAAATTATTAAGCAATTATTTACTTACATACTTTGTAAGGCATCATTTTCAAGCTTAGGATGAAATTCCTTTCATACGACAAACTCACTAAATAAAATTAACGACCAAGACTTGTCACACTACACGAAATGATCATAGACTTTTTTGTTTATGTTTTATAGAGCAAGATATAAATATTTATATTGAGATTTCTATAATCAAATGATTAGTATGAATTCCAAGAAGCAGATCAGTATTTTTGTAACGCAATAGAAGTATAGACAAAATATTTAAAAATATATTGACAAAAGTATAATATTTTTAGGGTCGTTAGTTATTCCTCCATAAGAACTAGACTCAGAGAACTGTGATATTTAAAATATTATTTTCTACGAGCTGACATCTTTTAAATATTAAATATCTATCTTATACTTTTGGATTAAAAAATTCCGATATCAATTTTTTTTTTAATTCTATAGGATCAATTGGATTTTATATTTGGATCCGATTTTAGTTTGAGGTCTTAAGAATAGTAAATGTGATACAACACAGCAAATTTTCATCATATTTAACTGTTTAATCTTTCTTTTGATTTATGCATAAGATGATGATTATATGGAAAGCGTATTTACTTTTTGGAAACATCACATATCTAGTCTCTGTTTTTTCGAAAAAAAGAAAAATTGCATGAGATGATGTTGTATGATGATGTTTGGTTTCACGATGAGGATGACGAGGGTGACGGTGCGAACGGTGGTGGCGACTTCAGGATGGCAAGATTTGTGTTGAATCTCCATAAATTTATCCAACCTATCAACTTAAACTTTAGTGCAAAAAATTTGATATATTTTATGTCAAATCATTAAACAATGACTATGTCATCTTTCGGCTCGTTTTGCTAACTAAATTAACTATAGAGACCATTTAAAACTGTTTCTTAAACTTTAAGGATCAAAAGTGTATATTTTCAAATTTTAGGAATCAAAATAGACACTTACCGTACAAAAAATATATTTTGCCCTAAAATTTATCAAACAAAATTAAGTTAATTATTTTAAAGGACAACAATTATTTAAGAACCTAAAACAATCTCAAACTAAATTCAAATAATTTCATAGCAATTGTAGTTTCATACTTCTATAACACTTAAAACCTTGTAAGAATATTTTAAAATATTGGAAAATATCGTAAATCTCGAGAAAAAGATGACCAATACGAATATTTTCGTACTTTTCAGCCAACCATGAATTTAGTTTAATAATAATTGACACATATCAAGTCATAAGTTAAAATCCCCTCACTTGTTGTACTACCAAAGAAACAAATTGAAAAATATTCAGTGACATATCTAATTATTTACTCGGGAGTATTAAATATCGGTAAATACTAAATGTCTATCCCATCTTATTCGATTTTATATTTTAATTAAATTAAAAATGACGTAAACTTTAAGACTAAACTATATACATTATACTTCATATACAACCAATGGTTGAACAATTCCTCCCTTCTCCCCTACAAAGAAACTTAAAGGGGCAGGTTCATTTCAATACCAAAAGTCAAATTTAACAAAATCAAACTATTCTCTTTAATTTCTTCCAACAATTATTGTAATGAAACTTCCTCATAATTGAATCATATATTTCCCTTGAAATTTTTTTAACATCAACTTGGCCATTCATTATATTATATAAAGCTGCGAAACTTGAAGATTTTTTTGCCCACTAAAATTAAAATTTGCAAAAAAAAAAAAAAACCCAACATTTAGAAGAATGAAAACTTACGCCATTGTTCTCATAGCTTGCGGTTCTGTATTGGGCATTGTTTTGATTTTGTGTTGCGTTTGTAGATTTGGGGGCCGCAAAAAGAAGGAGGTTTCAACAAGGCCACAGCCCCCAAAGGCGTATCGTGACGTAGAAATTGGAAGAAGCGAAACCAAAGATGGTGGGATGGCCATCTTGGCTGGAGTTGGTGCTGGTTTAGCCACTGCGGCTGTCGTCACTAGTTTAAGCAGTGGAGGAGGAGATGGCGGTGGTGGAGATGACGGTGGAGGAGATGGCGGTGATGGTGGTGGCTGTGGCGGCTGCGGCGGTGGTTGTGGCGGCGGTTGCGGCGGTGGCTGTGGCGGTTGATGACGAACACGTGAAAAATGTAGAAGATTTCTTGTGTGGTTTATTTTGTTGGTATTTTTTTTAGATTGTGTCATGTCTTGTGGTCGTTATTTGTTAGTCTAATTAGTATGTCGAGTCGATATTTAAATAATAAAATTGATAACTTTTATCTATGAGTACCAATTTTTACTATAAACTTTCTTTTATATATATAAAAATGTAGAAGATTTCTTTGTCACGTTATCTCATGTCGTGTCAAATTGTTGGTTGTGGCAACGATGATGATTATCTAGTGAGAGACGGGTACATCAACACCAATTTGATGTAAAAATATATTTCATATTCTTGGGTGGCATACATGTTCCAAATATTTATTTTTTCATACAATAATAATCTTTTATGAGAAAAACTAATAGAGCTAAAAAAAAAGACTAAATTACCAAAAAAAATATCTATTAACTCTGTCATTTGTTTAAAAAAAATCTCTATTTTTTCAAAAATTTTAGTCGAATGAGAAGGATTTTGACATCAGGTTAAGAAAGGATTAAAAAAATTGATAGTAACTATCTACATCAATAAAGTCTACTTTTTGTTCGGTGGTTGAGTAATAATTTTAAAGTTAAATTACGCGTAGGAATAGTCTCAAAATATTAATGAATTTTTGTTCAAAAAGAAAATTTTGAAACTTTTATGAAAGGCCCATGACTGTATTAAAAGTAAATATTTTCTTAACAATGAATAAAGTTCTGAGTATTTTTTATAATTTAGCCCAAAAGAAATGGTTCTTAGTTTTTGTTGTTAGCTTCATGTTCATCCATCTTTTAAATTGGGTTGTTTTATTTATGGTCAACAATTATTTCCCAATTAGTTGTTTCAAATTATTGTTCAAAGAAAAATACCGTTTCAATAGCCATTTTATTATTAGTTCCACTTTACGATATTACATTTTGTCAGCCCCAGATGATCTCAAACATATAAAAAACATAGCTAAAAGTTGTGTATTTATTCCGAGTTTAGATAATTAATTTTTAAAATTTTATTCATACTTAAGTCGAAAAGGTTAATAAATATATTTTTTAATTAATTAAAAATTTTAGAAAATTGAGGATGGAGACGAAGGCAAGGCGGGGGATGTATTCCTCGTCACCAAATCTCAAAATAATTCGGTAGAAAAATTGTCACCTGTTCTGGGAAGAAAATAGAAATCAGACTAAACAACCGAAAAGAAGGAATGGAGCTAAAGGAGATGACCCGAAGCAAGGTAACTGGGTTGAGGTCCAGTAACCCGGGCCGGCCATAGCCGACCTAGGGTCGGTGCTGAGCACTACTCGACGCCGACCAGACCTCGACGTCGAGACCTTCTCGGCCCAATGGCCGAGAACTTCATCGGTTCTCCCCGACCCCCGTGCAGCCCAATCCGAGTTGATTATGATTCAACTTATGTAAATCCTAAAGAGAATAAGATTCAACTGATGTAAATCTGAAAGGATTAGGATTCAACCTCTGAGAGTAAGCTAAAGTCTAAAGGTATGCCAAAAAACTCTATTTTTTATACTCGACTACTCCGATATACTAACTAAAGCATCGGAGCCCGTGTGGCTTATCTTAGTGCTATTCTGTTTTGCAGGTCTTGTCGATCCCTTTATTTTAGAAGCTTGGTGCGAATTCCACCAGATCCCAAGAGGCCGAATTCCAGCATCAACATCCCCTTCCGATCCTAGCTTGTTTTAGATAAAGATGTTGGGAGATTGAAGACTCTAAATAATTTCTCCTTCCACAAAAATATCCAAACACAACCAAAATATATGAAAATAGGAAGAAAACTGTAAAAACACAAAAATAACGACACAACAAATTAAATAATTGTTTAACGATTAGAATACAAAACTCTCCCCCAAAAAATATCCCCTCCTCTAGCTTCTAAGTATTATAACACACTATACAGGAATGAAAAACACTCATCACTGAACCCGACACAAAATCCTTTTCAACACTGCCCACAAGCACTCAAGTCTATTTTATTTGGATTCTAGACAAATGAAACCTTAACGTGTTCAATTATAAGAGGTCAAATATCCTAATTGGAAAATTGCAAATCCTTACAACAATATCCTACTCTCACTACTGTTGAAAAATCTTTTTTCTTTCATAGGACATAGATTTCTATTTGGCTCCCAAATGATTATCAAATTCAACCAATTATGATATGATCGTCTAAATTTAAAGTTATAATAATGAAACTTTTAATCGACTACAATTTTTTTAATAATATTTAAAAAGAAATTCGTTTTGTCACCTTTAATTTCTCTTTTTTTTTTTTTCCTTTTACGATTGACTGTAAAAACAATAAGAATGTTTCTTATTTATTTAGAATTTTTTAATATTGCACTATAAATAGGAGTTAAATTTTAAGTTTAAAGAAAGATAGAAATGTTTTAACCACCCTATCATGTTTCATTTATAAAGTTATTTAACTTACTAATATAGTTTTAAAAAAACAAAACAAACTTATACAATACGAGAAAGATTTTCTCTTGCTCATCATCATAGAATATCTATTTAATTATATGGTTTTGATTAAATAGTTTGACATAGTCTTTTTATCATAAATTATTTAAAAGTTATATATTTATATTATAATAAATTAAATATAGGGGATCTAGATGAGGACAATTTTAAATATAATTTAGTATGCAAAAGAACTAAGAAAACTGCTTTGGTCCATTGGCTTTCATGCACATTAAATTCGTAATCCTAAACTTAGATAAATGTCGTAAATTTTTATTATTTTATCAATAAAAACCACAAAAATCCAATATTTTTATTAAAAATTAAGTTTCTGAAATTAAGTTTGATTAAATAGTTTGATTAAAAAATCTACTGTTAAATAATTTTGCAAAAACTTACGAATTTAAGCCAAAAAATCAACTCTAGTGTCATTTATGACTAAATCCTATCAATTATTTCATACCAAAATATTTTATAACTCGTGTTGTTTCTCGGAATGGAAGGATTCAATATTGCTATAAAATATAAATGTTGATCAATATTTTCAAAATAATTTTAAAATGTCAATAAAATATGTTGAGAAATATTAGAAATATGGACAAAAATATCATAAATATTAATATTTTTGTACTTGCTAATGTGCAATAATTCCATTGAAATTAAATATAAAAGAAAAAAAAACTATATTGTGATGGTTAAGGATTCCGCATCGAAAAGATCAACGGACCTAACACGATTTATAACAAACATGAGTTACTTCTCTCATTGTCAATTGATTTTGAAATGGAACTCCATGAATCTTATGTAATATCAAAGTTTAACAAACTCCAACGAGGCTCGTATATTCAAAGAAAAATGAAATTTCAAGGTGGATAGGTTCCCAATCTATACCAAAAGTCAAAAAATATTGAACAAGAACTTCCACTCTTTACTTCTTCAACTTTGTAAACTTCCTAATAATTTTCAAGGTCATTTCCTTTGACATTATCAAAGAAATTTGAAGAGTGTTTATTTGATGTGAAAATTAAGCAAAAGCTCTCATAATTTGTGATTTATATTGTACTTCTTTGTATCTAGAGAAGTAGTAAAAAAAAATAAAAAATTTAATTAATTTTTTAAAATATGTTTGCCATTCCTTTTTTTTTTTGTTCATACACTAATAAAGATAGGACATTTTTTTAATGAAATTAATGATTAAAGAATAGCAATTAATTTAAGAAATGATTTTTAAAAAATATTTTTATCAATATTTAATTATTTCTTCATTATAAAACAATTAAAAAAATCAAAAGATATGTAGATTTTTTTTTTCGCGGGGGACCAAATCTACCCTGGTTCTTTGAAATTGAAGATTGGGTTAGGGACAAGCTTGGATTTTTTTTTTCCAACAAAAACACGGGTTCGGAATTCAAACTTTTATATATGTCTTAATTAATTAAGTTACGAAAAATAAAAATATATTTCTATTATTTTCAAAAATAATATTTCTATTTAAAATAATAATAATTAGATAATTAAAATGCAGAAGTATTACAAAATAAAAGAATGCAAATTAACCCATGAAAAAATTATAAATACAATAAACACGAAATATATACACACACGATTTTCATGGAATTAATGAAATGGACAAGATACCATAGCACTCCTCTTTATCTTGAATACCAATAAAAATTTAACAGTACTTTAGTTTTTTAAAAGTAGAAGAAAATATTTTTTACTACCTCTTTCTTTCTTAATTATCAAAAATTTTAATGGTGGTCAATAAAATATTGGTGCTAATCGATTATCACCTCATTATTTTTTTGTAACACGGTCCCATAATTTCATAATTTTATTGACCCATAACTCTGCAAAAGCATATAGTAAATTTTTTTTAATGCAGCATATTAATTAACCTACTTCAGAAAAAATTAATTTCCCAAAAATTTTAATTTAAAGACTTTATGTCACAATTTAAATAAGATAAGTACGGATCAAAACCTAATAATTAAAAAAAAACATAAACTAAAACGGATAAAATAAATAGAGATGATCCCCTCATTGAATAATTCTTCCCATCCCTCTCATATTGAAGAAATGAAACTTCGAGGTGGGTTTCCTATGACATAAGTCCAAATTATATATATATATATATAAAATCTTCTCAAAGTATGTATGATGATAAATGGCTAACCGAGTTGGCTCTGAGTATTACTCAATTGACTTAGGCACTAATTTTCGATAAAAAAATCGTGAATTAGACTCTCCACCCCACTTGTTGTAAGAAAAAAAAAATCATGGATTGATTTATTGGTTCGAAATGATCAAGGTAAACCAAAAGAATTTAGAAGGAATGAATTCAAATTCTATGATCACGTATCTAAAAATTAATTTTCTATATATAATTTCCATGGATATATATATAAAAGAAAAAGAATGATAATGGCTTGTTTTATTATTGAATTAGCGTTGGGGAGTTCAAATTTAGTATGGTGTTGGGTTAGGGTTGGGCATTTATATAAAGCAAGGAA